AAATTGTACATGATATTGGATATATATTATTGATGCTACATAGCTCAACTTATGATAATCTTTATAATATGGTTGGATCAGATGATAAAATTGTGCAATTATGAAATAGTACAATATTATTAGCGAATATCTATCTATCCAAATTTATAAAGTTCAATTGAATACTAGTAGTCCCAGAAGGACACTAATATTAAATATTGATGGATAGAATAATTAGAACAATGTTTTACTTGTCGATAGCTTGTAAGTCGACAACGAATTTCTTATACACTCCCTGAAGGATCTTTTACGAATTAACGATAATGTTTTTATATACTCCTCGATGGATCATCATCGACGTAAGTATCTCCCATAAATTCAAAATAAAGTTTTGGTATACTCCCTGCAGGATCAACACCAATACAAGTATCAAAATAAAATAATGACTACACTGTGAGTAAGTCTTGATGACTAATTTTGAATTAAGATGATATTGAATATTTTATGATCTGTTATGAACAATTTGTATTCCTGAAGTAATACATGAGAATAATGAAATCCAACCAAATCAATATTCATGGACACAATATATTACAAATAGTGATATAAAAGTAGTTTATTGAGATTGTATTAGTGCCAGAAGCACATATACAAAATTCTAATTGTCATATAAGATATCTGATAGGAAATTATCTCTCTTCTATATGACTATATGTTTCATTGGTTTAATTGTCTTATATGAACGTTTCTTGTTTGATATGCATCATATCATTCTTCACATTACTTGTTAAGATTGATAGTGGTAACACACGTATGATATGTGTAGCAGACATTATCCTATGGGTAAGAATTATTTTCCATGATGAATGAAAAAAAATTATATATCTTATGAAATGAAATCTCTTATACTTCAATTGTCATACTCCTGAAGAGTTATAAAATAAAAATGTCCACATATATTATTAATTTGTCCATGCATCTGATTACTCATGAAGCATATGTGGATTAATTTTAACATGTGAATAGTGTGTGTTGTTTGGAATATATATGGTGAAGCTATCAAAATATGCACTTACATGAATTTAGTTTGAAAATAGTAGTTGCATATTTTATTCCGCTGTTTTATGTATTGAGTATTGACGTGATCCAAAGTTATTGAGCCTAAATCAATTTAAATATCTTCAACTTTAGTCTAATTGACTAATGAACGAAATGAACGGTATGCGATTTGTATAGTCATAAATTGCAGAGCAAATATCCTCTTGAATTTTATACTTATAGATATGAGTTTCCTTGAAGGATTATATAATTAAAAGTATCACTAGTGAATTTAAATATCAACCTAGATTTGGTTATCCTTGAAGGATTGGTCCTGTTGACCAGTACCATAATTGCATAAGAATTATCTAGCGAGGATCTTTGACAAATTGATCTAGTAAATAATCTCGTTGATTTTTGGATAAATTCGTGATTTTTTTTTATTTTAGATCAGCTCTGCATATTCAACATACTTTTAATGAAGTTATGTAACCAGAATGTTACATAGATTGAACCTATACAAAAGTATTATGAAATTATTTATGTTTGCTTGTATATTTGATAAGATGCATACCGCAGACTTATATTGTTGATAGCTATAATGTTAATTTATATGTGGTGCCTGAAGCATATAATATAGTTTATAGCTACAATAAAAGGCTCACAAGCAAAGTATAGTTGTAGTGCCTGAAGCATATAGTGTTCACTTAGAAATGATTATTATACTTCGATGCCCAACTTATATATTGATAATTAGCATGAGCAGTTGGATCATAATGCGCAATTATTTATGAAAATTTCCTCCTAATATGCGTGGAGAATCAAACATTTCCCATCTGCAATTTATTTTTATATTTTTTATCACCACCAATTCGTACCTTTATGGGCCTATATTACAAACTAGGTATGCTATTTTTTTTATATATACTCCGTTGAATCTTTAATACCTAGAGGCCCTTATGGGGATCAGTTTATTATTTGGTACGTGTTTCACATAATACATGAAGATGATTTCATGGCATTAGGGGGAGATATGAGCATAAGTTTATT